TGTTCAATTACCATTTTTGAAAATAAAACGAATATTTTGTTAGTCAAAATATTGCAGGTAAAAATAATTTTATTAATTGTAGTAAGAACGGAAAAAGTAATCTAAAATTGCAGAAAAGAGCATAAGAGCCAATTTTTGGTCCATTCGTGTACGCGCGTTGCGCTTGCACATAAGTTTAAGGTCTGAAAACTATTTCAGTATTTGATTTTCACCATCTTGCGCCCGCACGTAGAGAGAACATTTATGCTACACATTATTACATCATTCCAAAGCGTAATCATATTTAAAGTGGTCATTATATTTATCTATTTTTCTATGGCACCGTTTGGTAACCATTATTCTAAAAAAAATGCATTTTGGGTTTTCTTCCGTTCTAAAAAATTTTCCATATTCAGACACCGTTTGGTAATCATTATTCTAGAAAAAAATGCATTCTTTGTGTCAAATCACACATTTTTTGTGGTTGAAAATGAAGGGAAAGTTATTGATGTGATGGAAAATATTATTTTATTGATGAATGTGTGGTCGAAAATTAGTAGAAGAATGAGAATGAAAAAAAGAATGGATACCAAACAGAGGCTATGTGGGATAACTTTAAACTAGTTTATCTCCAACGCAAAACCTATTCCAATGTATCACTTTGAGCTCTAATTTCTTATTCATCCAAACATCATTTTTGACAAATAAATATATGATTTCGATGTTACCATGGAGAAGAACACAAATCAATATAGATTTTCCAAAATAAACAAAGGGTCCCATCAAAATTTATTGCCAGCCATTCAATTCATTTTTTTTTCCAATCGTCCAGTTCTGCTTGCCTGAGAAGCTACAATAGTTTAAGTACAACATATTCATTTGTAAAATGCTTACTCACAGTAAAACCACGGGCGTTAAAAATGGTCAGCAACCACAACACAATGTGCAGCATCTTATGTTTCCACCTGCAAGAAATTTTGTTCTCTTCCAACAACATTAGCTTGAATGATGAGTACTTCAAATGGAGCCCCGTAATTCAAGGTTTGTTTGAACTCATATTTTGGGATAATAGAGTTTATAACACTACATTTTTTTTTTGAGAATGTGCAGTTAAAAGTAAGAAAAAGTTTTTAATTTACATATAAAATTATTTTACTAAGAACATATGTGATTGAAAACGATGTTATATAAAAAAAATGAGTTTGCAAAAAATGGTACTCAAACAGGGACTCGATCAAAAGGAAATCTCGAGTAATGCTATATGTACCTATACTTTTTATATAATCTTTTACCTACACTAACATGATAGACCCGAGTGTCTTGATCAACCTTGCAATAGTGCCCAAGTGCTTCGTGGCTCGTCACGACACAAAGAATGGCATCCATCCGTTTATAACTTTGCTTAGGGTCCGTTTGATTGCAATAGTGGAATTTGGGTGGAAAGTAATGAATTACAGGAAATTGAATTGCCTAGAGTTGTTGTCCTAGAAATTGTCAATTAATCGTGTTTGATTGGTATAATTTTTCACCTGAAAAATGTTAAAATTTTGGATATTTTGATATTTGTTTAACTTTGTTTTTCATGAAAATTGTCCATTAAACATGGCAAAGTGGGAAATAGAATTTCAATTCCATTTTCCATGGAAAAAAAAGGTCTATCAAACAGGCCCTTGGTGAAGTATCCATCCATATATAGTCCGTTTGATCCCATTAAAATTATAATTCTTTTTTTTTCTTTCTTTTTATCAACTCTTATTTTTTATGCCCCTGTTTGATCAACATTATTTTTTTCATTCTAATTCTTCTACTCATTTTCAACCACACATTTTTCAATAAAATAATATTTTTCATCACATCAATAACATTTCTTTATTTTTCAACTACATATTCCCCATCACATCACTTCAAAAAATGCATTTTTTCATTTTAATTTGCACCAAACAGGCCTAATATTACATGTAATCCTAAAACTTTTCTTAACCACACATTTTTAAAAAAAACCATTATTCTAACCATTAAAATTTCAAATAATGGGACCAAATGGGGGCATAACTTTGCTTAATGAAGTATGTTGAAGTACTTGATTAAAAGTTCAAGTTATTAAAGATGATCACATGTATATCATTTAAATATTGTATTTGACAAGCCCTAGTCATTTGTGGGTGAAATTCATTTTTACATGTACACAATTTTATTAAAATGGATCGTAGCAAGATTTAAAGATTAGGCCATTGTTTGGTACAAATTAAATTCTAGATTTTAATATAAGTCAAAATTAATAATTAATTTCAACCACAAATTTTATAGGTCATATAATTTTTCAACTACATATTTCATCAATTTTTATCAAAATCTAATTTTAATCCCACCAAACAGGGGCTAGGACACGTGTCGCTCCAATACCTTCTTGAACTACTTGANATATTATTTTCTGCAAAGTATAAGAGCATGGAAATTAAAATTTGAAAGGGTGAAAATATTTAAATTTTTTTCTTTCTCCATTTTTTTGTTGAAAATAATTCCAAACCTATTTTCAAACTTAGTCTCAATTTGGTTTAGATAAAAATCAAATTTTTAATAAAATTTTGATAAAAGTAGTGACGTATGTTTGAAAAGCTACGAGTCGCATAAATGTGCAATTAATGTCAATTGTTGATTTTGACTTAACCCGTTTGACAACCACTAAAAAAAAGTATTTTGGGAAAAATAAGTTTTGAAGAGTAAAATGTTTGAACAATTATTGAATTTTAATATGGTCACGACTTATTCACTGAACTTTAAATTGCGTCTCAATGGTCACTGAACTTTCGGCCGTTGCACTTCACCAAATTCTATTACATTATTCACTGACGTGACTAACGGAAATCTGATGTAGCAAGTTAGACCATTAAAAAAATGAAAGCTTAGTGAACCCATTGTTTCATTACTCCAACTTACACTTGATCACAGTTCATTCATCGAATTTCAAAATGCTTTTCAAAGGTCACTCATCTTTGAAATGTTGTACTACATTCATCATTCGCTATATTTTGTTCCCTTCATTTCTAATGTTTGCACAAAAAATCCCCCTGGTAAGTTATATAAGTTTAAAAAATTACAACTCAACAAAACTTAACTCACCAAAATCACCGTATATGAAACGTAACTTCCACGGTCCCATCAACTTCTTTAAAACCCAATAAAGCGTCCCCAGTAATTATTTTAGAAATATAATTTTTCTAATTCGAATGTTTACTGTGCAAAAAATAAGTTTCAATTTGAAACTAAAACTCAGAAGCATTACTTGTTTGGGGATGCTTTATTGGATTTTAAAGAAGTTTATGAGGTGTGGAAGTCGCGTTTCATAAAGGTAAACGTTCCTACCAAACAAATTATTCAGTTTCAGATTGAAACCTATTTTTTTAGCCTGTTTGGTGTAGATGAAAATCGGATTAAAATTGAAAAACTAGCCGTTATTGTTGACTTTTATTAGACGGGTGGGGCCCGATAACAGCTATATTTTTAATTTTAATTGAATTTTAATTGATACCAAACGAGCTCTTTATATAGTAAACGTTCAAATCAGAAAAATGATATTTCTAAAAGAATCACCGTGGACACTTTATTGGGTTTTAAAGAAGTTGACGGGGGCCATGAAAGTCACGTTTCATATATGGTGATCTTGGTGAGTTAAGTTTTGTTGAGTTGTAATTTTTTTAACATTTGTAACTTATCAAGTGAAATTTTTGTGCGAACATTAGGAACGAAGGGAACAAAATATAGCGAATGATGAATGTAGTACAACATTTCAAAAATGAGTAACCATTGGGAAGCATTCTGAAGTTTGATGAGTGAACTGTGACCAAATGTAAGTTGGAAGAGTAACGAAACAATGATTTCGCTGAGCTGCCATTTTTTTAACGGTCGTAATTTGTCACGTCAAATTTCCGTTAGCCACGTTAACGAATCATGTAACGAAATTTGGTGAGTGTTGGATGTGGTGCAACAGCCGAAAGTTCAGTGACCATGGAGACGCATTTTGAAGTTCAGTGAGTAAGTCGTGACCATGTTAAAGTTCAGTGATTGTTCAAACATTTTATTCGACTTTTGAAATAGTGATTTTTTGAAGAATGAATGATTGAAAAATAAAAAAAATTTTGAATTTATGTGCAAAATATTTTATTGTAAAACTGTGTGGTTGAAAATGAGTTTTAATACACACACACACACACACACACACACACATATATATATATAATGGTTGTCGTGTTTTATATTTTAGCCCCTATTTGCCCACATTATTTTTTTCATTCTCATTCTTCTACTCATTTTCAACCACACATTCTTTAATAAAATAATATTTTCCATCACATCAATAACTTTTCCTTCATTTTCAACCACATATTTGATATTCCCCATTACATCAATTCAAAAAAATGCATTATCTCATTTTAATGTACACCAAACAGGCTCTTAATTAGAATTTTAGCCCCTGTTTGTCGCCTATTATTTTGCATTTTTGATGGTTGAAAATTTTTGGAATAGTGATTGATGGAAGAATGTGTGGTGGAAAAGTAATGAAAAATTTTAGATTCGTGTGTAATATTATTTTATTTGATGAATATGTTGTTATAATGAAGATAGGGAAAATTTAATGTAATATAATGTAATTTAATAGGTCAGACAGGGGCTTAAGTAGAAATAAGCAGGGGATTAGCCGATTAGAGGTACTGACTCGATTTTAATATGTTTTCATTTTGCCCCTCCAACTTAGTCTTGTTGTACAAATTCATCCTTTACTATTTTTTAAGCGCCCTTTACCAGTTCCCCAGTGTCGTCTTCCAGAATTTACAGGAAAAAATGTCTAAACCCTTCTCCTAAACCAACCTTTTCTCAACGAGCAGCAACTCACCTGCAACAATGGTGGATAGTAACCCTTCGCTGTCAACCCACACCCTGCTTCTTTGATTACAGCATTTTACATCAGAAATCAGAAACCAAAGGAGCAAAAGGTTAAGGAATTCCAAATATAAATCACAAAGATGAGCACGGTGGATAAGATGCTGATAAAGGGTATCCGGAGTTTCGACCCGGAGAACAAGAACGTCATCACGTTTTTTAAACCTTTGACTCTAATCGTCGGCCCAAACGGCGCCGGCAAAACGGTAACTTCGCCCACTTCTATTCACACACGAGTGTGTATGCTGGTACATACATCGATCATATTGCAGGGAAAAAAAAAAATTGGAGCTTCTTTAATGTAGCTTTACAAACTGGGCTTTAAGAATGGGACCTTTTTTTAATCATAAATTTCTGGTTCGCCCGAACAAATGTAGCATCGAAATGTTGTAACTAGTGCGAAAAAAATTGTGCCCCACACACTTTAACAGGTTGGTTCTCTGGTTTAACTTCCATTCTCTGTGTGATAATGAATGCACCGTGTTGGCGTTTAACACCATGTTTGAGAAAATTGTATCTATTTTTTTTTTCGGAGATACGTACTCTTATGCCAGAGTTTATTATCATGCAAAAGAAGTTGTACTGTGTTGCAAACCACGCACAAATTGTATTTGTTTTATTTCCCCACCTGCGCCCAATCCACATGTTAACCATGCACATCCATACAGACAAGGGCATGGGCATCCCACAAAATTGCAGCATAATATTAATGGTCCCTCGTACATCAGGAGTAGTGCCTCTATTAGTTTGATTAATTCTCTGCAGGTGCATTGAACCCGTGTTTATACCCATCGATTCTGGAGCAAATGCTTGCAGAATCACAATCTCACGTGTCATAAATTGGATGTCATACTCCATTTTAATTTACTTGGCCTGCTTAAATCTCTTTGGAAATATTTTTGTAAATATTGCAGCATAACGGCGCTATACACTGTGCATCAGTGACCGTATACACTTATAGATGTCACATAACATGGTTACACAGTTGTGCATATTCAAATTTTACTTCAACTTGTAGTATTTGTGATGTATTCATCTACACACAACATAGATATATGCATACACAAATGCCCACAATCACATTCCAAGAAACCAGCTGTAGCATCACATTTCTGCACATCATGCCACAGTTGAAACCCATTTCTAATTGTTAATTATCTACAAATGTAAGTCCAAAGTGACAAAAGAATTGCCAAAATTCCATTCTGTTAGCTTATCTCACAAGTCTATCCTCCACTTGACTTATCGAAATCTATCCTTTCGTTATCTCAGACTATTATAGAGTGCTTAAAGGTTGCCTGCACTGGCGAATTGCCCCCTAATGCACGGTCTGGTCACAGTTTCATTCATGACCCCAAGGTATGTGTGTGTGGTTTGTCGACGTGGCGAAAGATTTTTAGGCGTATGTATATAATTATGTAAGAGTTATGGTGAATTTAGGTGGCAGGGGAGACAGAGACAAAAGCCCAGATAAAGCTTCGGTTTAAGACGGCAGCGGGTAAGGATGTGGTTTGCATAAGGTCTTTCCAGCTGACCCAAAAGGCCACCAAGATGGAATACAAGGCCATTGAGTCTGTGCTCCAGACAATAAATCCTCATACTGGAGAGGTAATAAATAACTGAGATATGATTGTTTCACCCTTTATTCATTATTGTTATATAACCACTTTCATAATCTCAAGGCTTTAATATGATTGTGTGGCGTGTGTATCTTTCCACGCGCATTAATCGTGAGCTTGAATCATGTGTAAACTTTTGAGGCACTTGGAGGTAATTTTATTTTGAGACAAAAATGTATTTTGCATGATATGTTTTGATTTTGGATTTTAGAGTTTGAGCATATTTCGTTTCTTTAAATGTTTTGCATTTGGAAGAAGTGCTTTCTTCTCTATTTTCTGGAAAGTGTTTCGAGTTCATGGAAATTTTGAAGCAGCTAAATGAAAAGGAGAGGAACAACCGTGTGCGTATGAGAGTGAATACTGAATTGTTTTATATGTCATGCATTATGCAAGTATTGTGTAATGTGAGTTGATTTTGGATATACTGGTTTTACAAGTATTTTGATGCTGGTATTTTTGGCTGTAGTTTGTGCATATTTATAATATTCCTTATGACAACTCGAATACCATGTAAGCATTTCGTATATAGTGTTCTTCTGATGCAAGTAGGTCGAAAACTGTGATGTGTATTGGCTAAAGTTTCTGGTCAGTAGAACTTTCTTAAGTTCAAAATTCTCCTTTTCATGTAACATTTCGTTTGCCTTGTACGCGTTGAAGATTTGCTGGGATTGTGAATCATTCTATATATTCAATCTAGTCCTTAGAATTTGGCGGTTTATGTTGGTAGCAATGTACTTTTAGCTTACAAAGACCCTAAGGAATGTGGTGATTTTCTTGACAATGACATGCAGTTTAACTTACAGTGATTTGATCACGACCATACATCAGGATTTTCCTCGACAAATCTTTAGTACATCAATAAGTAATGCAGCTGTTCTAAGCTTTATGTTGGCAATCTACAGTTTCAAACAGAGTGTTAACTGTTGTTTGGTGTTAATTGCGTTACTGTTTAGTGACAGACTCACACAAACATACGTGCTTATAAAAGAAGAAAGAAAGAGACGGATAATAGATAAGACCTTTTACACATTGTAGTCTAGAATGAGGAACAAGTTTATTGGAAAGAGGAGTGAACGTATTAATGTTGCTCTTGGGTATCATACCTCTTGTATATTATGCCAAGTGCGGGTTATGTCTGCTGAAATATGTTGAGTATCTTTTTGAGTTGGTCGTATGTGTTTTTATTTGGGTTAATTTCACAAATGGTCACTGAAGTTACATGAAAATAACAAAACGGTCACTGAAGTTTCAAAGTTTCAGAAACGGTCACTGAAGTTTGAGATTTCTTGCACAAACGGTCATTGAATTTTCAGATTTTTTGGGCAAGTTTGAGACAATTTTTCGACAACGTCCGACCACCAAAATCATAGATTTCGGATACCGTTGGAAAGCCCACAATGTCCTCTT